AGCCATTTCTTATTTACCTCCTTAACTCCGTGTATGCGTGTCTCATTCTCAATGCCCTTTATATCCGTGGCTTTCATCTTTTCCGAGTCTTGCTTGAATGGCCAAATCAAGATTTATCCAGCATTTAATATTCACGGGACATCAAAAGGGCGCTGCTCTCTCATTAGAAAGCTCGAGTGACGCATGCGCCAGAATCTGCCTGCCCTTAACTTCAAATTCACTATTCAAGAAAGATTCGATCTTAAGAACTGCGCGCCGAAATCATAGTGAGGCTTACAGGCGCTTGGGCAGAAAAAAAATTCAGGTTCGCGCGTACGTCTTGTGCTGACGTTCTGGAAAAAAATAATAAGGGACGAAGATATTGACCTTCGCACCATCGTGTCTCAGGTAAATGCACACGAAATGTTAGCTGCTAATAAAAGCCCTCGGACTCGCTGCTACATCTGCTCCGGGGCCCGCGGGGTGATAATTGCCTCTAATTAAGGTCGATTGATAAGTAACGGAGCGCGCGTCGGGGCCGTTGTAGGATCGTCACTCTTAAACGTCTAAATCGCTGCGTGAACGGTCGCGTGCCAACCTACGTACCGCTTCATTCCAATCTCCCCTCCTCCACCTCTTCCTCCTCCTCCTCCTTCTACTCCCCTACCCACCCATCCACCCCATCGCTCTTATGCTAATGGTCAAATGACTTTGTTCGTGACCGAAATTTGTTCATTTTGTAGTATATAGCCACTGCTGGTACTCGGACTTGGGCGCATACCGGTTTTTCGGCAAATTTTTTTCTTCTTTTTTTTTCTCTTTTTTTTTTCAATACATTGTCGAATGAGTGTTCTTACGAGACTTTTCGAAGAAATTGACTTATGAAAACCATTTGAATCGAGGTACTTATTACGTCTTGTTAAAAAAATTAATAAAATCAATCGTTAATTACTCATGAGCCTTTCATGTAATGCGAGAGCAATTTGAAGCGATTGAATAATAAATCTCAAGTAAAGCTGTATCATCGTTAAATCCATCTACTGTCAACGTGTAACGGACTAACACTTTTTTTATTTTGTTTTGTTTTGAATAATTTACGAGTGTATTATTAAGAAAACATGATCGTAAGTAGCTGTTTTTCAGCAAATTGCTATTCAGCATTATTTGGTTTGATGGTTTGATGGTGATATTTGGTTTGATAAAGAACATGCAAGTCCTTGACAAGTAAATCTAATCTTCATCGTATAAGTATTCCTCTCCCCTCCGCCCTTTCTCAGTTTTCTCCCTCTCTCTCTCTCTCTCTCTCTCTCTCTCTCTCTCTCTCTCTCTCTCTCTCTCTCTCTCCTTATTCCTCTTCCTTTCCATCTCCCTCCCTTACTCACTGTACATCGAAGCATCGTTATGACAATTACACCGCGTAAAAGAGTCCGTTCGCTCACTTACAATAGATTAATTGCCAGATCAGTCCAGCTTCTCCTTCCGTCGCTCTCCTCCCTCCTTCTGCCCCTTCTCATACCAATCGTCCAGATTGACATTCAGACCTGCCCTAGATATGGCAGTCGACGCGAAACTGCCAGTCCCGACGGGGACTCTCGCGGCGTTCATTCTTTCCCCATCTTTCCCTCTTCCATTCTCTCGCGTACGCACACGCACCCAACCAACCACTGCCACTGTCATTATCTGTCTGTCTATCTATCTATCTATCTATCTATCTATCTATCTATCTATCTATCTATCTTCCTTTCTCAGATATATTTCACATAATACATTTATCTATCTCTTTATCTACCCTGATCAGCATGCAATAACGACGTATTGAGGTTGTCTCTTTTCACCTTTCGTCAACCGTAGTTATCATTTGACTGTTCAAGCTCGAGGTAAAAATTCGATCGCCCAAGTGCGTGACAACTTCCGATTTCAAACTTTCCCATCGTCACAAAGGTGGCCGTTTTCATTTATTCTCGTTTTAAGGGCTTTTATTCGCAGTCACGTGTGCCTACCAAACGTCGAGTGGAGATTTTCCCTTGTTTTCGCATACGAAGTACAGTTGCCGTTCTGGGTTTTAATGAAAAAGGTATCATTCTCGTCATTAATATATTTATGAAAAATCTCTACTTTCCATTAGAAATTCGACAAGAAGTGTCGACAGATCGCTCCGATGTAACCAACGATCTTTAAAACTCCTTACAGTATAATAATTATAATTTACATGATATATCCTTATTTATAATACAATTATATTATACAATCGTATATATATATATATATATATATTTTTTTTTTTTTATATATATACAAATATAATTAATAGCACGATTTATTTTCTCAATTAATCTCCATGAATCTCCAAACTTGTGAATTTATGAATCTTCATTCGTTTCTTTAGATGGGGAATCGTATGACCAATCCATTATTTTACTGAAAGGTAAACTATTTCATAAACTATGTTGTATTAGCCAAAAAGTATTTTACTTCCAAAAATTCCAAGTAGTTTTTCAACTAATTCTACTTTTAAAAAATGCTTAAAATACTTTTAACATCTATTTTATATTTTTTTTTTTTTACAATACACAGATCATTATGCCTAGAACATTAAGATTAACTATTGATAAAAAAAAAAAAAAAAACCTTGACTAGTATTCATTCGTATTCTTTTATAATTTATTTTTGAAAATTACTTTTCTTTCGTTTTTTTTTTTTTTTTTTTTTTTTTTTTTTAAAATGTTTTTTTTTTTTTTTTTTTTTTTTTTTTTTGTTGTATTATCACATACGTTGAATTATTACTTATAGCATAATTACCGATAAAAATTCCCAATTATACGAAATGTTACTTCATTCGCTTTACTTATCGATATCAGCAATATACTAATATTGATTTCTATTAGTTTATTAAATTATTTAATTTAATTTTAACACCAAAGAGTTAAAATAAATCTTTAAATATCGCATGTTCATGAAATGTTCTAAGTAATTTATTCGCTCTATTGTTTTAAAATAAATCGAGTACACTTAATTGTATAATAGGGTCTTGTTCGTATATACTATTATATATTAATAATATCATTGTCACTTGTATAATATAATAATATAAATAAGATAAAAAAAAAAATAAAAAATTTTCGTATTTAATTTTACGTTACTTTTATCGGTTATCCCCCTCTTTTCGCTTTTTCAATGCTTTCAGTAATTGCTGTAACATTTCAGAACTTTATTCGCTAGTGTGTTTAAATACTTGCAATTACAATTTGTATAGGAGCAAGTTTGTAAAAATATCTTGGGTGTGAAGCACGTAAAGTGACATCAGCTGTCAATAATAAACTCCAAGTGCAAAAATTCACTCCAATCGGTGTAGCATTACGAGAAAAAAAAAAGAAAAAAAAAAAAAAAAAAAAAAAAAAAAAAAAAAAGTAATTATAATATAATGTAGGACTGATTTTTGACAATGAACAATTATTCAAAGTGATCTCTTTTATTTTAATAAATGAAGTCAGATTAGCTGCAGAAGAATACAACAGTGTCGGAAGATTAAAAAATGGATGATAATTATTTGTTCATTTAAAGTTCTAGATAACTTCTTAATAATCTAATACAATGATTGTTTTATATAATTCACTATTTGTTCATAAAAATAGGAAAAATTCACGCGTTTCGTCTACAAAAGCTCCAATAATACATCTTAGATAAAAATATGTATTTACATGTATGATATGATTTATATTTATTTAATGATATGACACGTTTAACGTAATTATGCTACACGTCATTGTTTATCGAGAGTAATAATGTTGCAATAACGTAATTATAAATCTCCATATAAAGTTCATTATAATTGTTGATCAGTCGATATATTAATGAATTCGATAATTTTAAATTTGTGAATATATAGAATTTTTATTGTCGGAATTTTATAGTCAAACAATAATTAAATAAATATTAGATTGGGCTATAAGCATAATTTAATCGCCACTTTTAATCTCATTTTGTTACCAGCGTTTCCTTACATTTGGTGCACAAATTTTATTGGTTGAGAAACTTGCGTTACCTTCTAATTTTTAGTTAATCATATGGAATATTTTATGAAGCTTTGGACGATTAATATCTTATTAATAAGTGGCCATTGTTATTTATCCATATTGTTGGTATCCATCCGTAAATTAAATGTAAATATTTACTAAAATGTTATTCCCTGGTATAAATTACAATTTATAAGCTCAGTCACGGCTTTTAATGATTACCAAAATACACAATATCTATTGTAATTTGAACTAATTTTAGAATCTTAAATAATATTTGAATGAAATTACCTTAAAAAGTAATTTAAAAATTCCTTAAAGTAAATCGAGATAGTATAAAAAAAGTATAATGAACGAATTATAATAGTACTCAATTAAAAGAAAAATGACTCGATATTAATTGATAAGTATTTTAACGGTGCTAATAGAGTTAAAAGACAGATAGCGTAGACGAAGGGCACTGAGTAAGGATTGAGGTGCAGCAATAATAATATAATTATCATTATATCATATGAGCTCGAAAACGTGAATATTATTTTGTCATTATAGTCATTATTTAAAAAAATATTTTATTCAATTAGGATTTTACTGACTAATGCCAATAAAAATCCATAATATAAATCGATCGTAAATAATTGTCGATATGATAGAAGCCGACATGCATTTCGGCTTGCATATCGGCTTGCATTTCTAACTTAACTAACTAATGAAAATGACTTTCATCGTGACAATCGAACTGACAATCGAACCGACAATCCAACAATATATCCAGCCAATATATTCATCCGCATAAAGTGTGTGCCTTGGACGAATACAAATGGACTGAGAACCCAAATTACGAATGAAAATCGGATGATCGTTATAAGCAGCGTAGAATACGCGTGCGTCGTCGCGGCATCCTATGACTAACGGCCATATTAAGATGTGCGCATTTGATAATCAGATATTGGCGAAGCGAATAAAATTCTGAGCTAACGTCACGTTTGTCAGCGGAGAATTGGGGCGGTTAATAATACGTTGGAGCCGAACCAAATGGCGAGTCCTAAAATCCAGTATGGCATCAGCGGGGAGAACATCAGCCAGATAAGCGACGACGAGTGCCAAGGGGGAATCTGCCCCTCCTGCAGGCTCGCCATCAACAAGGACACGGGCAGGCTCAAGTACGTATTCCTCTTATTTACAATCGCAATGCTCTCGCAATGCTCTCGCAATGCTCTCGTCTCATAGGGAACCCGAGGTACGGATTTTTAAAGTCAAGCGAGCGCGCTACCACTCGTCGACCAAGTGTACGCTGTACTCGGCTTCCTTATAATATCGCCGTCGAGTGTCCTATGATAAGTGTAAGCCGTTAATATATGATATATGCCGTTAGTGCTGGCATTGTAATAATATGTATTAGATTATTGTAATCGTCGGAGACACGCTCAGGAGCGGCTTCGTTCGCTTTTGCCTCTAAAGTTCGCTAAAATTCTGCAGATGGTGCATGGGTGGGAATGACGCTTGGCGCACGCGGATACGGCTCATGCTAATCATCCCGGCCGTTATTCTTCCGGTGGCGATCGTCATCATAGCCCTGTCCAAGTCCACTGTCATTGGCAAATTATCGATGCGACCGGGCCAAGGCGACGGCGGTCCTGCGTCTTCAAATCTCCTCGAGCATCAGGCGCAGTATTACACTTGTGAGAACCGCTGCATCCAGTGCATCCAGTTGGATTCGGATGCTCTTGCTTTTGTTTGGTTTTGTTTTTTTTTTCTTTTCAATTGTTATTCAATGCGTAGCTTGAACTAGTCGAGCTTATCTCGATATGTTTATCCTCCTTGGTATCGACCGGTTAGCATTCCTTTCCATCATGCGCTTGAATTTTTAATTTCTATAAATACTACGATTATTTAATAAGATAACATTTAAGCAGAATCTAACGAATGGATTTTGAATGGAATATTTAAATTTATATTTGCAGATTTAGCTAATTAGATATCAATTGAAAACTTTGGCTTTGAAATTGGCGATTTAAAGGCTAATGCGTTTGACCGACGTCTTTGCTTTACTCGACTCCAGTAACTTATTTTATACATTTTACTTCATTTCGCCATTAATACCATTAAATCACTTATCTTTACCGATTATATTTTTGAGATAAAATTGCTCGTTGCCCTATTGAACAAGAATGTAAATTATTCAAATGTGTATATATATATATATATATATATATTCCATCAAAAAAGATATTTAAAAATATGAAGATTAAAGCTGCATATTTATTGATTTTATTTTCGTTCGATTAATCCTTGAACATTTTTAACGCGAATAGCATTTAATAATAAATATCTTTCAATCTTATAACAGAGGTAAAACGTTTGATTTGATTTTTTTTTTTGTTTTTTTTTTTTTTTGTTTAATGGTTTCTTTTTCTTCCTTTCTTTTTTTTTCTCTATTGAAAACTTATTCGCTTAAATGTACGTATAGACATTATCTCCTTCGTATGCATATTTCCTAGACAATGTAAATTATAAATATATTAAATAACTTGTAAATAAATAAAAATACCAAAGAGTATTCGTGATTTTTTGCAGTCCCAATATCGAATGATATCGAACAGTCCGAGGGAGGCAAGAGAATAATTTTACATCCAGACGTGGAAACGAGCTTCGGGTCTGCCGAATCCTCGATCGGAACTCAAAATCTTCGGCGCCATAGAAGGAACGCGGAGCAGGTACGATGCCACATCCTAACCTTATCAATTTATTTAAAAAGACTCATTTTTATCCTAGAGCCATGCGATCATTCATTTCTAGGATTTAAAGTTCCATTTGCATATTATATAACGAAACGATTGAATGAAAGTTCATCGGCTTAAACGGTTCAACGGCAAATTATGATTGTTAGAATGAAAGGAGCGACAAGTGCGTTAAAATCTCAATGTTTTTCATAAGTATTCGTTTATAGAAATACCCAACACTCGACATTTTTCAATAATCACTAGTAGTTGTGAGATATAATCTAAGGAGGATACGAGGGAGTTGAATGTAATTCTTACGTTTATATACGGAATATACGGAAGGTTTGCGATTGATTTAGTTTAACGACTATTGGCAAAATTTGCTGCATTTGTGCAGAAAGACGAGCGTCGACTACGTATTAGTACATGTATGTACTTGTATGTATTTATTTAATAATGTAATAATGTAATAAGGTAATAATGTACGACTACGCGATTTCGCCGATTTCGCGTCCTTATAATTATCCTTTGTGGTACGCAGGGCGAGACTCGACGGAGCGGAGCTGCGGCGTCGACGAGGAGACGGTGGAGAGTTGCGGACGACGAGCCGCTTCAGGAACTGCAAGTAAAGTTTGTCAAAGAGTAAAGGGGCGCGGAACTTGGAAGCCCCGATTATGCGCCAGGAGGTGGAGAGTTCCGCACCCTGCGCGGACATAGGGGCGTGAATTTTTAAGGTCTGCGTCCGTTTAGCCGTTTATTACATCTTGGCAGAAGCTTTCTTCTCTTCGTCCGCTTTCATTGTATCGATTGAATGTCCTTGTACCGCCGCTCGCTTATTACGATTACGCCCCTATGAGTGAGTAAGTAGTGGCCATCCATCCCAGTCGGGCACGATATTTCATAGATAAATAATTTTCTGATGCCAGTGTGCGTTGCTTTGAGGTAGCGTTGAATGCACGTAACAAGCTCGCTTTGAATTACCATAACGTAAACGCATCTCACTTGCTAATCGATTGGGACACTGATAGGGTGTGGTGGGGGGGGGGGGGGAGACGAGACGTTAGCAGCGGATATGCGAAATAACTGATTACAAGATTGAATGAAGGGTATTTCGTATTTTGAATTAAATTCATTTCATTTGGAATTGATGGCAAAAATTAATTAATTAAAGATAAATTTCAAACCCGTACACTTAAAAGTGATTGGAAAGTATTTTTCTTTATAAGCATTTAAGCAATTAAATTAAATTAAAATTTATTAAAAATTCATTAAGCAATCCTTTTAATTTACTTAGTATTCGTACATTTGCAAAATAATAGCTCGCAATTGTGTACGAATTCTCGTATATTAATTAATTAAAATTTGTTATCGATTAACGATGAAGGTCAGCTGGATTTTTTTTTTTTTTTTTTTTTTAATTTAATATCTGCGTTATGGGGAATGTTGAATATATTTTCAATATTAAAAGCATTTTTCGATGCGATTTCACTGATACGCTTTCACAAAGATATTGCTTACACTGAACGAATTGAGCCTCTTGAAATTTCATTATGACAAAATACTCGATATAAGATAAAAAAAAATTAGCGGATTATTGATTTACACGTTTTAATCGAAATAATGATTAAGGAGATTTATAAAATTTGACAGAAAGAGTAGTAAATAAAAAAAAAAAAAAACAAAACAAAAAAAAACAAAAGAACGTTTATTTTTATTAAATTATAATCTTCTATCGCGATTTTACACTAAAATACTTTAAAATAATTTATTTTTATTAATGTATTTTAATATTTAATATTTATTAACTGCAGATATATCTGTATTGGTTGTTCTTTTTGTTTTTGTTTATATTTGTTTTTAATTAATAAACTAAGATTACTGCTATTTCTTGTAACTAAATTTTGTTGAAAAAATTAATATTTAATCGGTTTTTCGTAGAAAATAAAAGGCGACGTAAATATTTATAACTTAAAATACTCGTTATTATGTGAAGTTTTTAATAAACTTTTAACAGATCATTTAACAAAATTGAAAAGAATCAATATATTATCATTACGTTGATCTTTCATATGCTATTTATATTCAAATGCTCCTAACTTTCGTAATTACTATAATCGCGAGATTATGATTACTTTTCAGGAATTAATAAGCTGATAGTAAAATATAAAGATGCGCTATAATCTCGAAATTATTTAAGCAGTATTGGTATATCGTTAATATGGGTGTATCGACATATATTAATAGTACCAATGGAAATCCTATTCGTTCGAAGCTCTTCGTGCTAGTTTCTTCAAAATATTTTTATTTCTTAATTAAATTTCCTTGACCCGTTAACGGCGCTACGTTATCTTAACTACTAAAAAGAAAAGCTCGAATAATATTTTCTAGATGTAGCGTATGAAAACACCAATATATTTTATGATTATAGTCTCGGTGAACCATTATCTCTCATCATTTTCTCTTTTCTTTTTTCTTTCTTTCTTCTTTTTTTGTTTATTGTTTTTTGTTTTTTGTTTTTTTTTTTGTTTTTGTTTTTTTCTGTTTGTTTGTTTTGTTTGTTTTTGTTTTACCGCGCAGCTATGTATGAAGTCGAACGAGCGCAAACATCGCGAGGGTGTATGAAGGATCAAGAGTGCGTCTGACTTGTTGAACTGAGAATTATAAAGAGCACCTCGAGGGCCCAGGGAAACAAACAGCTCCTCGAGGATGTACCGACATACGCTTTGGAATTAATAATATTCTGAGGAGGACGTATCAACTTTTTCTCTCGGGCTAAATATTTCATACGGTCGCTACAACAGGAGTTCGAGTTTATTTTTTTTTTTTTGTATTTGTTAAGCGACGGTTGCACCTTCTCAAGGTCTATGCTCACGAATCAGAAATAAAAGTCGCATAATCGTCTTGTCATTCAACTGCTATTTTCAACTCGGACTTGAGATAATCGACATTATTCATTAAAATTAACAGACGCATTGAAATGACGAGGAATTGATAAACTCCGATGTTAGTGAGTAATTTGATCACCATCAAGACGATAAATTTTTATTTTATAAATAACTGTGTTAAAATTGTCTAAAGTATATTATGAAAGGAACAACTTTTTCTGCACCTAAACGATTATTATAGTACACTTTGCATAATCGTATTACGTATCTTTAAACTCAATTCGTTTGCTTTCGTTACACAGGCGATTAAAGATATTCATAATAATGTAAAAAAAAAAAAAAAGTTAATAAGTAAAGAAGTAAATGATTATGCACTATATATATATATATATATATATTTAAATAATTAAAAAATCTAGGAACAGTAGCTTACGGGTTAATTGATTCTCTATGTAGACAATACGTTTGTAAGAGGTGGAGAAGCTACTAATTTTCATAATCATTAAATCATCGATCGATCAAATTCTCGCTTATAATTCTCTCGAATTATTTTAAATAAAGCTCTTGAAAGTACATAATATTCGAAATCTTAATTATGCAACAATACACGATCTGAAAAGTCGAATACGAAGAAATTTACGAAATCCGAAATGTTCGCTAGGAGTCAAAGTTAATTTTGTTACCAGACTGTAGAACGACGTATTTGTACTAGAACTTTTCGCGGTAACTGGGAGCTTTAAAAGCTCAAGTCGATGCTCGATAAGGATAGTACGTTGACGGGGTGGTCGCGCGATGATATTTAGCCCCGTGATTTTAGCCGTTTATGAGCGGAGCGGTGAGATTGCAGGCCGGGAACGAAGGTTCGAGGTAGGAGAGGCAGGAGGTCGGTCGGCGCCGAAGCGGTCACCAGGAAGGGACCGCGGGCCGACGGGGGCTCGGCCGACGGGAAGGACTACGATAGTCGAGGCGAGTCGAGCTCCAGGGAGAGCGAGGATAAGAGCACAGAGAAGGAAGAGGAAGAGAAGGAGGACGTGGCTGAAGCAGAAGAAGTAAAAGATGAGGAGGAGGAGGAGGAGGAGGAGGAGGAGGAGGAGGAGGAGGAGGAGGAGGAGGAGGAGGAGGAGGAGGAGGAGGAGGAGGAGGAGGAGGAGGAGGAGGAGGAGGAGGAGGAGGAGGAGGAGGAGGAGGAGGAGGAGGAGGAGGAGGAGGAGGAGGAGGAGGAGGAGGAGGAGGAGGAGGAGGAGGAGGAGGAGGAGGAGGAGGAGGAGGAGGAGGAGGAGGAGGAGGAGGAGGAGGAGGAGGAGGAGGAGGAGGAGGAGGAGGAGGAGGAGGAGGAGGAGGAGGAGGAGGAGGAGGAGGAGGAGGAGGAGGAGGAGGAGGAGGAGGAGGAGGAGGAGGAGGAGGAGGAGGAGGAGGAGGAGGAGGAGGAGGAGGAGGAGGAGGAGGAGGAGGAGGAGGAGGAGGAGGAGGAGGAGGAGGAGGAGGAGGAGGAGGAGGAGGAGGAGGAGGAGGAGGAGGAGGAGGAGGAGGAGGAGGAGGAGGAGGAGGAGGAGGAGGAGGAGGAGGAGGAGGAGGAGGAGGAGGAGGAGGTGGTGGATAAAGAAGAAGAAGAAGAAGAAGAAGAAAAAGCAGAAGAAGAAACGGCGGGGGAGAGATCGTCCGCGAGTCTCGAGGATGACGTTGGTTCGCGCTGGCGTATAACAAAAAACCTCGATGATTCCTTGGTAAAGTGGCCTATTTTTCAGCGGCATTCTTTATATTCTGAAAATTATTAATTGTATTGTCGTGAAAGGTACTTCTTAATTGATTACTTATAGCTTGGGTAATATTGTAAAAATAATTGTTAAGATTTTTTAGGAATATTATTGTCTCAATCGATAATTGCATTGGTTTGAAAATCAAATAAGAATTCTCATTAATTCGCAATGATAATACAATTGAATTTGTTTGACACCGTAATAGATTATAATCAGAGGTTAATAAACTCGGATGCTTATTAAGCTCGGAAGATCGGATGCAGAGGTTAATAAACTCGGAGGTTAATAGTTGACAGCTATTTACAATAAGATATTAAATATCTATTTATTTCTTGTCATAAGAATAGACATTACAATTATCGATAAAACATGTTTTTTTTTTTTTTTTATTTTAATTTTCTTTATAAATATTGCATTTGGTAATTTATATTAATTATGAGATAAATTAATAGTTGGTTATTAGTTTCATAGCGAGGAGGCTGCGGAATTCTTAGGCTTTCGTACTTTTTGGAAAGGTGACTGGAGCAAAGACTTTATTCGAAAAGCGCAAGGTAGGAATTACGTCTTTTATACATTCACTGCACATATCGCATTAAATTACATCGAATTTGATTTAAATACTAATAATTTCTCATTTAAATATGTCGCATTTAAAAGTGTTGGAGTTCGTTGAAATGTTAATAATTAAATTGCACATCGATGAGAATGAGTAATATAATAATTATCCAGTGCATTAGCATTTTTTTTATAAATTAAAAAATCCTCGTTCAATCGCAAGATGACAAATCTTGAAAATAATTGAACTTTGGGATCGGGGAACGGGATAAGCATTTGTTCAATAATTCTTTCAGCGCAAATGATGCTGAAGTACATGGATAAGGCGGCTGATCCCTGCCAAGACTTTTACCAATATGCTTGCGGCAACTGGGAACATTATAATCCTATTCCGGACGACAAGGCTGGTTTTGACACTTTCGAGACTTTAAGGGAGTCCCTCAATGTCGTTCTGAAACAACTACTCGAGAATCCCGTGGGAAAGAGCTCCGAGTCCTACGAGGGTAGCGCCATTGCAAAGGCTAAGAATTTATTTCGCAGCTGCATGAATTACGGTGAGTGTGTCGTAGTGTATAAGTATAAAGAACGTTGACAAAACACAAAAATATCCATCAAATTCAAATAAATTTATAATTTTATATCGCGAGGCTTATTGATCGCATATTTATTTATCACCGATAGACGTAAAGAATTGCTAAACGTCGTTGATGAAGTGTGATGAAGTGGACAAATCGTGTTATTTCACTCAACTTTTCATATGCACAATAACTATCTTTCTAAGTTATATATATTAATTTCTATGTATTACTCTATACACGAATTGTTAATAGTTCTAATGAGTCGTTTCGATGAAAAAAAAAAAAAAAAAAAAAAAAAAAAATCTAACGATATATTCAAACCCCAATATTTTTGATCGACGAAGATAATAATAATAATAATAATAATAATAAGATGATAATGATGATGATGATGATGATGAAGAATAGTGATAGTAATTTTTATTATTATTATTATACAGCGAATGAATTTGTTCGGCTCTATTCATTTAAATTAAACTAGTGAAACGGAAATAATTTATGACTTTTCATTGATTAACTTATTTATTAAGCTTTGTAAATAATAATTGAGAGTATTGATGCGGGCTAGAGATCTTGGAGCAACGAATGGGGAAGCCGCTCCTGGAGTTCTTGGACAAGCTAGGTGGTTGGCCAATTTTGCGACCAGACTGGGATCCTAATAAATTTGACTGGCTGCTAGTCGTTGCCCAGCTAAGACTTTACAACAATGACATTTTGATTTCGGAATGGGTCGGGCCGGACATCAAAAAGAGCGACCAATATATCATACAAGTTTGTCACTATCTATTGAAAAAAAAAATTAAAAAAAAATAAATAAATAAATAAATAAATAAATAAAAACAAAACAAAACAAACAATTACGATCTGAAAATATTTATCGAATAATATTTATACGATAAAATAATTGAAAATAATTCGGAATAAATTGATTTTTCAAACTATTTTAATGCTTATGCCACTGGACGACAATGTTATTTGAATTTATTTTATTTTTCACTTAATGAAAATGTGTATATACATTTTTAATTGCACATAAATTGCGCATTACAATAAACTACAACCAATTAGTATGAAAACTAAGAAATCCCGGAATTATATGATAGAAATATATTTTGTGCTTTTAAAGATTTTTGTTTTTCTCGTTTAACCGTGATTTGTAATTACGATTCATCATGAATCATTATAAAATAGCGCGATTAGGCGAGCTCAACGAAAACAATTAAATAATTTTCAGTTGGATCAAACGACACTCGGCTTGCCAACAAAAGATTATTTTCTTCATCCTTCGAACGCAATTTACTTAACGGCCTATAAGAATTATTTGATCTCTGTCGCAACTCTGCTCGGGGCATCGGTCAAAACCGCAAGCACTCAAGCCGAAGAACTTATTCAATTTGAAATACAACTTGCAAACGTAACGTACATTCTTCATGCAAAACAATCAAAATCAAAGCATCAAACTTATATTTATCATATCTATATCTTACAAATATCCCATAATAATGATCACATTAATTATTAGTCGTTGGTAGGCTAAAATTTTTTTTTTTTTTTTTTTTTTTTTTTTAATCGTGTACTTATATAATCTAACAATTATAATTGTAATTATTATTCTTTATCGAATATATGTCTTTAATGTCACTTATATTGCACAACTTTGTGTTTTATATATATATATATATATATATATATATATATATATATATATATATAAAACAGGTATATCTATTCTAATAAATCTCATTGGTAATCAAGTATTTTACATAATTTATCATGCCGAATTTATAAAAATTAGCTTTACCAGTTGTTTAAAATTCGACAGTAATGATATTTAACTATTGATTGTTCCTCATAAAACGTCAATAGTCCATATGGAACGACTACCTGATGATGTTTACAAGTATTAATTACCGAATGGCAATTTAGAGTATTTAATGATCTTATTATTAGTTATTAGTTCACTATTTGTAATCGCGCATCTTGCTATGGATACTTGTAACGTCAATTTATTAATTTAAAGTAAAGAAAATATCATTATTGTCTTTTCAAAAGATCACGATATCCCCCGACGAGAGGCGCAATATATCGGACTTGTACAAGCGAGTGACTCTGGATAAATTATATCGAACGATACCGCAAATCGATTGGCAACGTTATTTATCAATAATCCTGGCTCGACCTGTAAATTCTTCCGAGCCAATCGTTCTGTATGCGGTTAACTATTTTCAAGACCTTGTGAAGCTGCTTTCGCAAACACCGCGCAGGTGAAGATGCTAATTTTCACACCGTTATTAATAATAATAATTATTACGAGTTGATTCAATGGCGCGTGCTTTAGCATAAAATTTAACGAAAGTTTATTGTTTTTTTTTTTTTTTTTTTTTTTTTTTATTTTTTTTTTTTTTTTTTTTTTTTTTTTTTTCTTTAATATAGTTTATATAACGATAACGAGCATAACCTCGTCTGGCGGTAAAATGCAATTTCTTTAACAATGTTGTGAGCTTATGCCGAAGCACAATAGCAATAATTTGAAAACGCGCCGGGTTTTGAGTACTTTTTAATTTAATTTTTTTTCTATTTTTTTTTTTTATTTTTTATTTTTTATTTTTTTTTTTTTTTTTTT